GTAAAGCAAATCGACAGTTTGTCAAGCGGAATCCGCCGTCGGCTTCTGGTGAGATAGACCTTCGAACCTCTTCACCAAGCACTTTTACCCGAAATGGAAGTGAGCTCAACAACTTAATGATCCCAGATGAAACGGCTCTTACTGGTGCTCTCGTGACATGACTTTCACACGTACAGGTTTACATCTCATAAATTCAACTAGAGCTACTTTTGGACGAAAGCGTTTCAGCTTTTGCTTGGGCCATTAGGCCTCTATGACCCGGAGCATTCGGGTATAAAAGAATTAATCAAAACCCTTACATGCCACCGATATCTTTAAAATATTTTGTGGTTCAGATTAGATCTATCATTCAGGAAAGAGCTAGTCAGTCTTCGTGATTTAGTGTCAATTTGAGACTTTTGCAGGAATTCTTTCCAGCCCTGAAACGACGTAGAATGTCTCGTAGACTACGTCCACCTGAACGTCGTGTTTATGCCAAAGGGCTGCAGTTTAATTGGATTCAGCCGTCGTCTTCTGATTAGATCGGCCTTCGAATCTCCTCTTCATGCACCTTTATATTTCGATATAAGCAGTTTTCGAGACCTGCTCTATCGAAAGCCGATAGGACTGCTATATTAAATCAGTTTAGTCTGTCAATTCACTGTCTTCCCTTATTTTGCCATTTCCATTTACCCTGTTTTTTTTGTGTTTGTAAGCGTTTTTAAGTAAACGGTTGGTAGGACGATCTCATAACTCAAATAATTTGAACGATTCCTGTTTATCTCCTGTGATCTGTTGTTTCCCTGCATCTCTAGAGCTGGGACACATTCCCACACCGAGTTCAGGCTTGCAACAAGTCACAAAATTAAGCGTTTCACCCTTTCATGTTAGTAAAATACACGAACTATGTTTCGCAATTCGGTAATGTTGTCAGGGCGACTTGGTTAGAGGTACCTATTCCAAAATCCTCTGCTACAGAGGTTATCACAGTTCCCAGCATTAGACCGTGAACTTGGTACATTCTCAGACGTTTAACCGGCATCGTAGTCAGCATCATCAGTCAGTCTCGCCATTCTCCGCACCAAGCGACAAACTCGTCAAAGAGACAAGTGAAGTCAATCCCTCAACAAAAGTTCTGCCGAAAACGGTTGCACTATCACTCCTCTTTCTGTCCTGGCCCATCCATCTACTCCTTACCCTCTTATCCAACTCCCGCCCTGTCACAGCTTCTGACTTGCTCACACCCCACTCCTCAAAAGGTGTGTTCTTTACGCCGAGTTTGGTGTGGCGTCGTCACACACCTTGTTATCCCACCCTTTGTTTGGCCGACCCGACTCGAGCCTACTATCCTGATCTGCCTCATGGGTCCATAGGTCACCGATTTTACTCGTATCTGTAAGCATGGGAATCACAGCCTAGGCGACAGTGTACGGATTACTGAAGGCGCCTGGAGCGAAATGTACCCAGGGAGTGGAACCGAGTCAAATCAGTGAAGTATCCAGAACTCTCATATTGTCCCATATTATCTCCCAGCTCACATGTTTCCCTAACAAAATGCCCAGTATTATGCCAACAAAGAGTTTCCTTTCCCTTAATTAGAAGCTAGGTCATCAAGCCTGACAGTCTCGAATTGATTGTGTGCATTATGGTTTATTACGCACGGGCACTTATTGACATAAATGAAGAATCCACACGATATTAACTTCTTGCGCGTATATTTATCTAAATCTATGAATGGTGAACCGATTAGCCTTCTTGAATTTTAGTAGGCTTGTGGTTGATTTAAGAATGTGTCCAGGCTCTGCTGATGTCTGTCGAGTGACAAGAAGTATGAAA